CCCTCCCTCCCGCCCTCCCTCCCTCCATTTCTCTCTCTCCCTCTTCCCTTTCTCCCCTTACGTCTCTCCCTTTTCCTCCCTTTCTCCTTTCTTTCCTTCCTTGCTTTCTTTCCTTGTGTTTTTCTTGTTCTGATCAAAAATCATGAGAGAAACTAGTAAGATGTTTCCCAGGAATGATCACTGTGTTTCTTCTTCAGAAGTACAGGAAACCAGTGGCCACACACTTGTGTGTCCTTGTCGGCAGACTGAAATCTATCTGGGAGCACCCAGGGATGTCACTGTTCCTCATTAGTACTGAAGTCACAGTTCAGGGTCTGCCTATCCACACCCCACTCCTTTCTCAGGCACTTTGTAAGCTGTGGATAGAAAAAGAACCCTTCTCAAAAACTGAAGCCTGGCCTGGAGCTGGAAAGCCCAGGTCTTAAATGACATAGCTCCCAGGGAGTGGGCTTCCTGGTCACTTTCTCCTTTCACTGTGTTCTCAAGAAAGGACTGGAGGGCAGTAAGCTGGGTGTATTCTGGGATAGAAAGGGAGGGGAAAGTGATCCTTTAATTAAGAGGGGAATTCTTTTGTACCTGCACTGTATCCTTTTGATGCGTTTAGATAGAGGGGACCTGAGAGGCCAGGGACAATGGCGGTTTGCTACTGTCTGAATCCCTTCCCCTTATACTTAATCCTGTCCTTATTGGGACCTTGGGTGGAAAGCTGATAATTTTGGCATTGCCCTAAAAGGAAGGCAGTGCCTTGAATTCCTGCCACTATCCCATGATAATGAACAGGCCTAATGAATGCGGATAAGTGGTAAGAATCTGTGACCAGCTGCATCGGGGCAGGTAGTACAGCTCAGATTTAATTGGGAGCAGGTATTGGAAGGCTGTATTACTTTAATTGGTGAGGGGTTTTCTAAATGGAAAGGACAAAGTATAATGAAGAAATTGTGCTGTACAATAGCACTTAAGCTGGGATTGTATGCATCCGTTAATCTGCTGAGGAATGAGGCAATTCTAAACAATTTTCCCAGTGAAACCAACTCCAGAAAGCTTGTCCCCTTTGTTCCCCCTTGGGAAAATGCAAGATTGAAACAGAAAATACCTTTACCGAGGCAATCATGTGCCACGTGTGGAAAGCGGATACAGCTGTAAGCTCTGCGAAAGGGATCTATGTGGTACAATAGGGGACGGAAATAGAGATAAGGCTCGGGATAAGAGTGAGCCTGTCACTGCGGCTGGAGGAGGAATAAAGTGATGGTGTTTACAGTGACAGATGAGCCTCTGAAGAGAGAGCAGGACAGTTCAGAGACGGGAATTTGATATTTAAAAGACGGGGCTGTGATAATTAAAAGTAACATCGCATTAAACTGTTATGCAGTTCATTAATGGCGGAAGGAAAGCTTTGTCTCTGAAAAAGTTAATGATTCTCAAGAAACCACTCTGGAAGCCGTACACTACTAAGAGCCTAAGTGACCAGAAGGCTGACACCAGTCTGGATGTCTGAATTCCAAAACTCCTTAAAAATTATAAAAAGCAATGTTGGCAAAAAAAAAAAACTCATAATAATTGTGTGGAGTTCTCTCTAGACAAGAGAGGGCTCAATTAGTGTGTAGCTAGGGCCAGTAATGAGGGAGACTAGCTATGTAATGGAGGTTACAAAAGTTACTGCTTTGAACATAGGGGTATAAAATGGACACAGGACAATCACCATCAGGCGCTTGCTATTGAAGGTTTTCTTTCACAATTTACATTTAACAGTGTAGCATGGGATAGCATTTATGAGAGAGAGAGAGAGAGAGAGAGAGAGAGAGAGAGAGAGAGAGAGAGAGAGAGAGAGAGAGAATCTACTGGCTCCAGATTTGTGGTTCAGTGATGAGCCTTTATGAGACTGTTTACCAGGATTCTTAATTGGTTTTAAACCTCAAGTGGATGAGCAATTGAATTACATTTGTGTACTTTCTTACAGGTGGGAAAATACAAAGATCAAAGTTTCTACGGTCTTCGTGAGAGGAGAAAAGGAAGCAGAATAGGAATGTTGGCCAGACTTTCCCAGGATTCCCAGGTGGGTTTCATATATTGCCCAACTGGAAGAACCAGACCAACTCATGGTTCCCCGAGGACTGCAAAGGCTATTATCCCTGTAAGATCCAAAGCTAGAAAGCTACAGTTTATATGAAGAACTCTTTAGAAGGAAAACTACTTTGGTGTTCTGCACATTTAGATCCTATCTATTGGACAACATAGACATTGGGTTCAAACTAAAGTACTGATACAATGTAAACAAAAAACAAACAAACAAACAAACAGACCCCCTCAGTATGAAGTCTATTATCCATAGAAATAAAAGTAAAAACATCCTCAAACATTGGTGGTTAATACCAAAATCCTGCTTGAAACTCAGGAGAGGAGGCATAAGCTAAAAGTTAACCCGAATCAGCACGGGTGCACCAGAACGCCCCTGCAGCCTAGAGACTTGCACGGAGCACATTCAGGGATGTAAGGATAGCAGCTCCGATTCAAAACTGGTCCTATGCATTGAAACCTTAAAGCCCGTCAAGTTCCTTGGCAGAGTTGGTGGCTACAGGGACTGATGTGGGAGAAAGGTGAGAAAGAAGGAACTGGAGTCCCAAGTGGTGCTCTGTATCAGCAACTGTGACATGAAATCCCCCCATGCTTGTCCACACCACAAAGTCATGGTTAATTATATATGATAGGTGAGTGAACATGCTAGGGTGTGCTTGTGAACTGAGCCTGAGCAGTGGGTTATGTGACTACGATCTACATAAGATGTCAAAAAACGAAGACTAGAAAATACTTCCAGCCTGAGAAGGAAGGTATGGTTGTTGGATAACGCTGCCATTGCCCCACCTCTGGGACAAAGCAAAATATTCTCCCGCATCTAACTCCACTGTTATGAGAATGGGTAAAAGCATGCCCTTAGCTAAAACTCCACAAACTTTCGTCAGCAATTACTGAACACTGTAATTGCCCATCCTAGCGTTCTGAAAGAACTCACTTAATCCAGAAATAATGTATACTACGAACGTGAGTAAGGAAGAGGAGTCCAGCTTGGGAGTATCACGTTCTACCTAAAAACAGCAAATTTAAATACTATTTCTTAATACACTCTTCCTTAAGAGTTAATGGCCACAAACGTTAACAAAGCACTTACATTGGGTAGGTAGAGTTCAGATGAATAAACTTATACTATTTTCTGTGATGGAGCCATCTTGATGTGGAATCAGAAAGGGGAGAAAGTTGTGGGTTTTATGAACTAAAGCCCAGAATATTTTCAAGGATTTGCATAGCTTTTCCACATCTATCTGTCTATCTAATCTATCTATCTGTCTGTCTGACTGTCTGTCTATCCATCTATTTTGCCTTAATCTACCTATTTATTTATTTTGGATGTTATAATATAGTCCAAGTTTGTCTTACACTCACGGTCCTCCTTTTTCAATTGGACCACTCCCTCATCTTTTAAATCTATATATAATCGCAATATTAACAGTCATCCAATACCACCCTCCTCTCCCTGTAGAATATTGTATACAACAATATACTACAACAGTGTAGTATATTGAAACTTAAATATGATGTACAATGTCTTCATCGTTATCTCTGCAAGAAGAAACAGAGCAATATATATGTTAATGCTTGAAATGAAGATGAAATATTAAATAAATGATATCACAAGATGGAAAGCACTGTAATAAACTTTCAAATAGTTTCAGTTAATGAAATAAGTAGAAAAGAGTTACAAATATAAGGAAGCATATTGTCACCACTTTCAGTCACAAAGTGGTGAGGAAAAAAATTAGAAACTTCCTTGAAAGATATTTTTGTCTTTAATCATTTCTAGACATCTCCAGGTACAGTCGGGCCAACAAATTTAATCATCTCTTAGAAATACCAAATATCATATTTTATATATTTTACTAATACTTATCTATACAAGAGAAAAACATGACTATAAATAATTGCTATATCTGATATATTTTAAGTGACTCATATTTATGCATCAGCATTGAATGAAATCTCACCAAGTGAATATTTTCTGACTATTCTATTTTTGGAAGTTTGTCTGTAGCGTATATCAATCTTATATACTTTCTATGAGATATAATTAATTCATCCATGAAGCAAAAGTTCTTTCCATGGGAAATGTCCTTGAACTGTTGAAAGTAAAGACAGAAACTTAAAAAAAGAAAGAATTTGATTTTAAAAAACTGTACATAAGGTACCTGGTGTAAAATAAATGTTCTAAAAGTTCTTCCCTCTCATTAAAGAACAAAGAAAATATGAAGATTATTATATTTCAGAAGAACATAAATGCTTGGAAACTTGGATTGGTATGTATAATGAAAAAAGATAGCTTGTTTTGTTTTCTTTCTTTAAATAAATAAATTAATTAAATATATCATATAGAAAGGTTTTCTATGAGAAACTGAAAGATTGTGGGTATGCCACAAACAGGCAAGGGAGCAAGAGTTTGTTTCTTTCCTTTTTTCACACACAATGTGAAATAACTATTTTTCTATTCTGACATGGGATGCTTTGTATCTAGTACCCACGATTTAACTTTAAAAGTTAGAATGAAAGACAACACCTGTGTGTGCATGCCTCACAATGAGAATCTAGGATCATCCCCAAACAATGAATACAGTTAATGAAGGGCCCAGCTACTGACTTAAATGCACAGGGCAAGCACCAGCCTTGGGGAGCTGCAGAAGTCACCCCAGGGAGGTGATGCTCTCAAACACCAAAGAAAACCTAAGAGCCTGTAAGGTAGTTTGGCACCATCCTATTAAAATTATTATAGGAATAATATCAGGAATCGAATTTCCAAGGTAAAAACAGCAGATTGGAGGTGGAGAGGAAGCAGAGTTTAACAAAATCATAGAGAACCCTGGTGCCATATCACTTGAACAGCAGATAGTTCAAAGCAGTGCCTATCATATATGTACACATAGAAAAATATGAGGCTGAATACTATAACCCTCCTATAGTCTTAGAACTTGGAAAGACTCAGTTAAGAGCACTTGTTTTTACAGCAGACCTGGGTTCAGTTCCCAACACCCACATGGTGGCCCACAACCACCTGAAGCTCTAGAGGATCCAAAACCCTCTTCTGGTCTCTGCAAGTACCAGGCACACAATTGGCACAATACAGGGATGCAGGCAAATGCCCATACACATTCAGTAAAATAAATTTATTTTAAAAAATGAGAAAGAGGAATCAAGGTAATAATTGTAGAAACTCTACAAATGTGAATGAAAACATGATTCTATAGATAAAATGTATTTACCATGATACAGATTGTATACCCAGAGATAAGTATAACTGAAGTATTAGGAGCCAAAGACAATTGTACATTCTTTGAAGCAGCCAGAGAAGTGACTTGATTTGCATGAAGAGATTTCAAAATTTATTATCAGCCAATTTCTCATCAGAAACCCAGAGCCAGGAAATCAGAAGGATGACATATTTAAAGGGCAAAAAGAAAAAAAATATACCACCAGTTTGTAAGTATACATTTGTCAAGGTTGTCTTCAATGTGAGAGAGAATGCATATTTCCAGATAAATCTAAGTTAAAAGAATTCATCATAACAAGGCTTGCCTTACAGGTAAGTTCTTCAGGCTGGATATAAATACATTATGTAGTGTTGTGAAACTGTATGAATTGCTAAAGTTTCCCTATAAAAATACACAGGCCAATACAAAAGCCACTGTTATTATATTTTTTGTAATTCTAATCTTCATCATCTACATGATTTTAGGCCAAAAATATAAAAAATTTAAACCTATGTATTATTTACTCAATGTATAAATGTGTTGTGTGTGACTGAGACACTTAAATGAGCTGAGTTTACATAAATTCTGTCCTATGAGTCCTCATGTTAACTGACCATATCTCTTGAGCACCTATGAATATTCTTTAGTTGCTGCCTTTGTACTTGGAAAAAATCATTAGACAAACCCACTGAACTCAAAAAAGGTTGCTATGTACAAAATTATGGACAGGAGAATTAAAATACATTTAGAAAAAACAGAAAATCATACAAGTCTTTATCAACAGTTTTTTTTTTTTAATGTAAGTGGTTTAAGTTGATTCATCAATAGTCATAGTTTGGGTGGTGAAAAGTACCTGGGTGATTAAAACATTTGCTGTCTCCAGAGGCCAAGAGTTCAGTTCCCAGAATCCGTGTTAGGAGTTGTGAGATGATTTAACTGCACTCTGACACACCCAAGACTTCCAATAAGGTTTGCTCTGAATACGAAGGCAGAACTAGCTGCTGCGTGACTAAAATAGAGTTTGAGTAGGATCAGTGACATACAGAGAGACACAAGAAGTAATAGAGTGTTTATCAGCTGTAGGAGTTCTTTGGGAGAATTTTTGGGGCCACTTACGTACACTATTATATCATTTGCAAATAACGAAAGTTTAACTTCTTCCTTTCCAATTTGAATCCCCTTGATCTCCTTATGTTGTCTTATTACTATTGCAAGAACTTCAAGCACTATATTGAAGAGATATTGAGAGAGTGGACAGCCTTGTCATGTTCCTAATTTTAGTAGAATGGCTTTGAGTTTCTCTCCATTCAATTTGATGTTAGCTGTCGGCTTGTTGTAAATAGCTTTTTTTTTATATTTAGGGATGAACCTTGTATCCCTAATCTCTCCAAGACCTTTATCATAAAAGGGTGTTGAATTTTGTCAAATGCCTTTTGATCCCTCTTCCAGTGGGTTGTGGGCTTCTCCAAAGCCCTTCACCAGGCTGCAGCCGCACCAGGATGGCGGCCTCAATGGCTGGTCAGGCTTTGGCAGCTGTTGCCACTACCACACACTCTCAGTCCCCAGCTACATGCCAACAGGTGCAACTGCCCTCAGCCAGGCCATTCACTGCCCACATTCTCTGCATAATCCTGCCCTGTCCAGCTGCATGGCAAAGCAACAGGCAGCTTCACCCTTTGCTGTTATTGTCAGCAGAGCTAGTAAGGCACCTGGGAATTCTTATGGGCTGATTTAAGTTTTTTTTTTTTTTCCTTTCAAAAAAGGAGTTTTTAAGCACGTTAAGAATGGGGAACAGTATTACGATTCAGGAAGTTAGGTCTCTGTATGGTTCCAGAATAGATAGTTTGAAATTTAAGAAATTAAATGAAAAAAAAATCAACTTAGCTAGGATCAACATAATATCAATTATATTCATTATCAATTTAGCAATTCATGCTTTATTCTTAAAAGAGTGGTTTGATATCAGTACCAAATATGAAAAATTGCCTGATAAGATACAATCCTTTGAAATACATACTAGAGAAACTAAAAAATAATATTCTCTTACACAGACAGAGCTTAGAGCAGAACCTACCACGCCATTGCATTATAAAACTGAAGAAGAGTGGTCCGAGGTTATTAGAAAACCAATCTTAATTTATTCAGTAACCATTCAAAAATGAACAACATATGATATGCCCCCCCCCAAGGCTATTCAGAAGGTAACTTAGACCCTGTTAATGTCAGATTCGAAGAGATTTAAGAAAGCATCAGTTTCATTTGGTACACATCCACTCATTGTGAAGCGAATGTTAAATTCTTAGGCAACTCAGAATAGAAATAGTTCACAAACTAGGAGGAATTAGCTACAACAATATTGGAAGCTGATCCTCAGTTACAATGGAAACATGGTGGACAGAGAAAGCTAGAGTCATAGAATAATACTGTAAGAGGAGAAGTATTGAAATTTCCCAAGACCAGCTTCTCAGTGAAGGCCAGTATGGTGGTTTGCAAAGACAGATTACATTTGATGAAAATACTTTGGCTTTATGCCGTATAGCAGCTTTGTATGCTTGCAACATGGTTGAAGAATCAGGAAAGAGGACTGAAAAATTTACTAATATTATATAAGGCCCAAAAGAAGCCTTCACTTTTTTTTTTTTTTACAAAGATTGACTTCAGCTGTAAATAGAATGATTCAGATCCAGAAGTTAGACAAATGTTAATTGAATCTTTGGCTTTTGAAAATGCTAATTCAGAATGCTAAGGAGGTGATTAGGCCTTTAAAGGCAAGATCAGCACCAAAAGATGAATGGATTAGAAGTGCAGCTGGTATTAGACTTCTCACTTAAGATGACAGTTGGATAGGAGAAGTGATTTCTAAAAACTTTAAGAAAAATCAAAAGATTATATGTTCTAATTGTGGTAGCCATATCATCTGAAAAGGGATTGTAGATAAGGAATTCCTACAAATACTTTTTTTTCTAGAGATGATCCAAACAGAAGTCTACAGCCTTCTGAAATATGTAGAAGGTTTGGCAGAGGTCAACTTTGAACTAATGATCATCATGGATCTTGCAAAGTAATCTTTTTCCAACCGGTAAATATTTTAAGGGACTTCCTGCAGAACCTCCTGTCAAATTTGGTTTAATCATTCCCTATCATCATGGGGCGACTCATACACAGAACAATTGAAATTGTTGTAAACAACAATACTGCTTGAGTTAACAGAACAGCTACAGTAAATAAAATTAAATTTTGAAAAGGGGATCATAAAATGACTATTTTTACAAACCTCTATAGGTAATCAAAACCAAAGCTAAAAGTAAATATAAGTGACATTGTGATTGAAGGTTTACCAGACACATGGATGTGGAAATAATTTCACCAAAATCTAGGCATCCAGATTGGACTCTTCAGGAGGTAAATATTCAGCTCCTAGGGATCGGAACTTTATCTCAGGCAAAACAAAGTCCAAGATGGACCAAGTGTATAGGGCCAAAAAGATACATAGGAAGATTAAAGTCATATGTGACAAAATAGCAATAAATTTATGGGAACATGATTTGTTACACAATAGAGAATCCAGATTAACATTCTACAAATCAAGAAACATGCCACAAACTGACATATGCTTCTGAGAAAAATATTGAAAAGTATTATCAAGAAGAGTCACCAAATGTTCAGGTCATATGTAAGCAGGGCACAACAGCTTCTGACCTTTAAAAGATACCAGCAACCCTATCTCTAAAATGATTAATTGACAAACCATTGTGGGTGGAATAACAGCCTTTGACATCAGAAAAAGTAGAGGCGCAATTAAAAATTAGATCAGCTGATAAAGGAGCAGCTAAAAGCTCAAGATTTTGAAGAATCAACCAGTTTTTAGAATTCTCCTATGTTTGTCATTAAAAAGAAATATGGAAAATGGAGAATGGTAACAGATTTAAGAGCTATTAATAAGGTGATCCAACCGAAGGGCTCTTTACAGCTTAAAATTCCCTTGCCTTCTTTACTATTAAAAGGATGATCTGTTATAGTGATTGATTTAAAAGAATTCCCAACCTGCAAAAATGAATCAGTGGAAAAATTTTCCCCAAGTGCTGTTTAACAGTCTGAACTAGTATCAATATTTTGTACAACAGCCATTGGAAATAATTTGTAGTTTCCTCAATCTATAGTTTATCATTATATGGATAATAACTTATTAGCTGAATCAGATTCAGATGCCTTAAAAACTGCTTGATGAGGCAAAGAAATTTTGCCTTGTTGGGGATTACAAATTGCTCCTAAAAAAACCAAAGATGATATTCTAATAATTACCCAAAATACAAGATCAATTTATAAAAATTTCAACCACAGAAAGGCACATCAGGGGAGCTCAGTTCAAACTCATTTATTTATTTATTTATTTATTTATTTATTTATTTATTTTCATTTTATGTTCATTGGTGTTTTGCCATGGGTATCAGGCCCCCTGAAACTGGAGTTACAGACAGTTCTGAGCTGTCTTGTGGATTCTGGGAATTGAACCCAGGTGATCTGGAAGAGCAATCAGTGCTATTAACCACTGAGCAGTCCCTTCAGCCACCTTAATTACTCTTAATGATTTTCAAAAATGCTGGAATATATTGGATTGAAATATCAAACACTAAGTAATTTATTTCAAACCTTACAAAGTGAAAAGGTCTTAAGTAGTATAAATAATATCAGCTGAGTCTTAAAGAAAATTGGCTTTGATAGAAGAGAAATTACAGGGTGCACATGTGGATTGCTTGAAGCCAGAGTTTGGATGTGTACTGGTCATAGAACATTCTATACATTCTCCTACAAGAAGAATTCTTATGCAGAGAGAAGATAATATCTTAGAATGGATATTTTTACCAAACAAGCCGAGGGAAAAATTAAAGACTTTTGTGAAAAACTTTGTAAATTGATTCTGAAACAAAAATTGAGACTTTATCAATTATCATGAATTGACCCAAAAGAAACTGTAGTACCTTTTACTAAGGCTGAAGCTGCCACATTAAGGGCAAGAAAAATGAACACTGACAAAGCTTACAGTAATTTCTTGTGAGAGATTAGCAGAAAATATCCAAAGATCAGGAAACTTGAGTTTATAAACAAACAAACAAAAGAGACCCACTAATTGGAGTCTTCCTCACATTGTTCAAGACACATCAATAAGAGGCCCTACATTCTATAGTGATGCAAATAAATCAGGAAAGGCAAGCTGTAGTTCAGAAATTTATTTAAAGTACCTCAAAGCCCTGTTATGATTTTGCTCAAAAGTCAAACTTACTTGCTTTCCTCATGACGTTATTAGATTTTCTAGAACCTCTTAACATAGTAGTAGCAGTTACTGACTCACAATATTCAGGAAAAGTTGCTTTACACATTAAAACCGCTAATCTTACTCTAAATGATTCAGAATTAACTTTGTTATTTATTCGGGTAAAAGATATTATCAAAAATAAAAATAATCCCTTGAGCATAACATATATCAGATTCTATATGGGTCTATCAGGTCATCTAGCACAACACAATGAAGAAATTGATCAACAATTGGTAGAAAATGGGCTAAAAGCCTCAAAATTTCATAAGAAACTATTTATTTATCACTTGGCAACAATCCAAGAAAATAAAAGATGTCCTACTTGTTCTTTGTATAACCAAATTCCATTACCTGAAAAATGTAACCCAAAAGGTACTCAAAAATAAATTTGACTAATGGAAGTGTTTCATTTCATTGAGTTTGAAAAACTAAGATGTGTACACCATACCATAGATGCATATTCAGCATTTGAATGGGCAATTGCTTTAAGTTCTGTAAAAGCTAATTCTATAATTACACATTCATTAGAAGTTACGGAAATTACAGCAATGCTGTAGGAAGTCTTACAGCCAGTGGTTACCCACCCATTGGGGCATGACCTCTAATACTATCTAAGCCGATGTAGAGTATGCCTCTGTTCTCTTTTCCCGCCTCTCTGTTCCAGTTGCAGGATTCATTTTCTGATCTTCATTCAGAGAATTCTGATTTGTGAGTCTACTCCTAAATAAATAACCATCTATTTCTCAATTTTGAACTAGTGTGGGATTTCTTTTAAGCATCCGGCCCCATTTGGTGCTCAACCTGTAGAGAAATGACTGCTGAACTTGCCTAAAGGTGAGGAGATTCTTTGGGATTCCTGCTTCTTGGAAAAGTCTGCTGGATACTATGTCCCTGTAGGCAGAAGATGGATGCCCCAAATGGTACAGAAGAACTTTGGCAGCAAGATGTCTCTGTCATTTCTAGAGTTTTGGATATTTCTGGAGTCTTTGATGGAGTTGAAGAATAGATAGATAGTTACAGTTATAGTTTTCCTTATGATAAATGATAAAGTAGATAGAAATATTGTAACTGTAATTCTTGCTTGATGTTAAAGTTAAAACCTTCCTTTTTATTTAAACAGAAAAAAGGAGGTGATGAGGGAGTCTTCTCTGTGTGTTGCTTGTATTGGTTAATAAATACAGAAACTGCATTCTGTATTTATGCAGAATCCATAAGGGAGGAAGAGAGCAGAGTCAGAGATACGGCATGGATCCACCAGAGACAGATGCTCGGAATTTTGCCTGGTAAGCCACTGATACATGGCAATACACAGATTAATAGAAATGGGTTAAATTAATATGTAAGAATTAGCAAATAAGAAACTAGAGCTAATGGGTCAAGCAGTGATTTAATTAATACAGTTTCTGTGTGGTTGTTTCCGGACTAAGCTAGCCGAATGGCTGGGACAAACAGGTGGCCTGGCTCTCCATGCAACATGGTAATACCTGTATAAATTAAGACTGACAATGCTCCAACATATGTCTCTAGTAAAATGAATCAGTTTTTTTTTTGATATTTGAACACATATAACAGGTATACTACAGATTCCTACAGGGCAAGCTTTTATAGAAAGAGCTAATAATACTTTAAAAGGTAGACTTAATAAATAAAATGTGGTAATAAAGACCCCCAGATATAGATCAGACAATGCTTTATTAACCTTAAACTTTTAAATGATAATGAGAAAGGAACAACAGGTACAGGGAGACACTGGATAGTAAAAAAAAAAACTGCAATATTAAATCAGCTTATATACTTTAATGATATTGTGTGCTCAGAATTAAAGCCGGGATATATGTTATACTAAAGAAGAGGTTTAGTTTTTGTTTCTAAAAAAACAGAAAAAAAAATCATGGATACTACCAAAATTGATTAAGATTAGATTCAAACAGGAGAGACCTCTTGATTAGGAGAGGCGATAGTTTATTAAACAGCATGGGAATTCAGTCTAGCTAACTTACAAGACTAACAAATGCCTTCCATTTGATAAGCTATAACCTGCCTGAGAGGAAAATTCCAAAGTTAGAGTTGGGGCAGAGTTTTAGTTTTTCCTTTCCATCCAAAAGAATTAAAACATCCAGCTTAGGAATCTGAAAACCTCTGGACAAATGAGACATCTAAGGAAAAAAAGGACAAATCATTCAAAATAACTTCCCAGGAAAAAGAATAAAGTGGCCTAATGGTGTAGCATATTTCTAAAAGGATAAAATTTTATAAATCTTCCCAAATGTTTATTTCTACTGTTCTCTACAGTCATGTAGGACAAATAGCCTTTTTGTAGTCCTAATTCATCTAAAAATTAAAGTTGTCCCATGGCTCTCTCCTTATCTAAATCTAATCTAAATCTGTTTGTTAAAAGAAAATCCAAAATCTCTATCTCACGTCAAAATAACCACCTGGTATAGGACAAAAGAAAAACCAAAATTAGGGGATTATTCTATTGCCAGTTGTCTCATAATGCTTTGTTTTTATTTTGACTCTTTAAATATATCTTTATACTTTCTATTGTGATATTAATGGTTATATAGAGTACCAATTAATTTTAGGAATAGGTTTTATTTATTTAGCTTCCTGTACATTTTGGGGGCTTGAATCTGAATCAGGTGACTAAGAATTAAACTTGTGTAACCCGGATGTATTAAATAGATTATGGTCCTTTAACCTCCCTAAGATCTGCTGCATATGATATTTAAAATGTTTAAATTTTATAAAGTGACCCATGATCATTCCTAACAGTGATCTTTAAAGATTCCAAAAGGATGATTGGAGCCACTCAGCAATGATGCCCCTGGGATTGCTTTAATAACATTAAGCTGGCAAACACCACTCAGAGATCAGCTTTGGGCTACAAACAGCTGAGGAAATTTCAAGGTGGTTAGCTGAGATGGTCCAGCCTCATAGGCTAAGCCTACACTTTCCCATCACAAGAAGACTGAAAAGTAGCCAGTTCTCTCAGCACGTGGTCCATTATCTCAATTTTCTCAGAATCTCTTAAAGATGCCATTGCCCCCAGACTTCAGAAAGTAATTTTAAGAACACAACTTTCACATACCCAGGAGGTGGGGTGAATGTTTTTTGGCTGTGGATTATGGATGTTTACATCTTTTGGGGGCATTGTTTTCTAGTTGCTATTGATCGCTCTCAGAGAGAATACTAAGCAAAAGATGTTAGATTCAGAGATCTCCTTCTGAAAAGAAAAAGGGACATATAGGAATGCTAGCATAAATGTATAGACTAATCATTCTACTTTTAAACAAAAAAAACTACTAAACTTAATTATTTTTCATTGGTTTTGATTTTTGCATATTACAACAAATTTAAGGTTATTTTTATTATACTTTATCCATGTTTCTACTCTTATTTAAAGTATTTTATGTATGCAGCTCATTTTAAAATTTAACATAAAGTTCTAGTCCCTAAAGGCTATTATTACAAACTGTCTTAGATAATTAAGAAATATAAGTTACCAAGTCACATATAACAAACAAGTTTTTGGCTATGTTAGTTTGCTTTCAAGATTAAGCAGAGATATATTTTCGAGAGACAGAAGGCCTTAAAACCCTTCAGAGACTTACAAGATATGGCATTTAAGATGCTTTATAACATGAAGCTTTTTTATAACAGTGAGACACATCTGTTCCTGGCAGCACCAATTTACTCAAAAAAAAGAAAAAAAAAAAGATGGGCATTGAGTTGCTTTTATTGTGACAAAGTTAGCCACTAAGCAAGAAACTCCCTCTGCCTCTACTACTGCCAATACACTGTCCATACTGGGCAAGTAGGTCCACTAAAGGAGGCAACTGCCAAGCTTTAGCAAGACAATAGGAGAGTCCTTCAAAATTTCTTCTTCACAGAAAAGTCTGTCAGTTATTCTAGGCCTGTAGGTCAAAGACAGATGTCACAATGTTGCAGAGGAAACTTGGGTGACTGTCTAGGCAGCCAAATGTCTCTGTCATTTCAATAGTTTCAGAAGTTGTTTGCTCTGTACTTCCGTTTACTCAGGTAATGTTATGTATTTCTCAGGTCTCTATTGTGATTGAAGACTAAATAGTTATAGTTGCCGTTTTCCTTGCTAACAAATTCAGAAAAGAAACTTTCAAAAGTGTATAAAGTAGAGAAACCTAAAAACATAAATTGTTAATCTAAGAAAGTGTTTTGAAGACTAAAAGAATAGTTTGGAATTGGTGATACAAGTTAGGATAAAAAGTGAATTAGGTACAAAACTTTGAACCCACTAAGATATGATATATAATGGAGTATTTTATTTGAATTTGCTAAATGCAAATGGATTGGATATTGTGAATGTAATTCCTACCTGATAATTGTTCTTATTGGATATAATTTTATGGTGTTTGACTAAAAACATCCCATTTTTATTTAGAAAAAAAAGAGCAAAATTATGTGGGATATTTTGATCTCATTCTGCCACATTCAAGACTGACAATAAAGTGTTCTTTGAGTCAGATGGCAGAACTAGCTATCACCTGACTAAAATTAGCTATAGAGGTTTCAGAGGACTGAGGAAATATAGAGAGAGACACAGGAAGTAGTAGGGTGAGGCTTAGAAAGATTCTTGGACTTTTGGTACTGAGGAGAGAGACAGGGGTCACTGGTCACTTCTCTGCTGCTTTTCTGATCATTGAGTTCTTACCCAAAATATCTGTTTTCAAGTTTTTATTGATAAAGAATTATTAAATAAATGCTTCAGCTAGGTGACTCAAAATAGCCTGTAACTACAGGTCCTGGACATCTGACACCCTCTTCTGGTCTCTGAGTAATCCACACACATGTGTCACATACAGATACATACACACACACACACAATTGCACTTAGATACATACACATAAATAATACTAAAAATAATACATCTTTTAAAAATTACAGATTGGCAGAACAGTTGAAAATATGGTTCAACTATCTATTGTCTTGAAGAAACTCATTTGAATTTGAGAAACAAATAATTTGAATGACAAAGGAAATAAAATTATACAACATATATGTTGTAAAAAGAAGGGAATGGATAGCTACACTAAAAGATAAATTAGTCTTTAATTAAAACCTTCCAAAATTGCAAATGGACATCATGTATTGATAAAGAATATTAACTTCCATGGATAATATAACAATAACAGTAATATGATACACTTCATTCCAGATCACCAGTATCCAAAATGCATTGTGAGCACAGGTCCAGTGAGAATGACACACCAATATAGTCACAAAGACATTAGTCATGGTTAGAGCAGTAAAACAAAAGTCCTATAGTGATATAGGGAAGTTGAATTCCACATCAAATCTGCTATATCTAACAGATCCAAGTAGATCATAATACTCAATACCAGGATACATATTCTTCTCACCTATCCAGGGACCATATCCATATAGAAGACAAGTTTGGCCACAAACAAGTCTTCAGATGATTGAAATCATATGCGGTATGATCTCCGATGGCAGTAAACGAAACAGAGCTGGATGCTTGTACAAGCAGAAGGAAAATCTACAGCTGTTGAAAAATTAAAGAAAACATCCCAAAATTACAAATGAGTTAAGGAAGAATAATGGAAATTTCATCTTAATGAAATAAAATTAAATACAACATTTCAGCATTATGCGTTGCTACAGTGAAAAAAACAGGAGTTTAAAACACTGTGGTACTAAGTGTCACAATGAGACACTTAATGAGAACACAATGAGAGCTCCAGGTTAGGCGGGGATACACAAAAAGAGTCTCTCTCAAAAAAGGAAACATTTTCATCTGTGAATCCATGAAAACTAAGAAAATAGTTAGTCCATGTTCTAACTTCAAACCAGGGGGAACTAGAGAAATAATTAATGGAAAGCAGGTGAAAATGGTATCAATCAGGCCAATTTCATATTAATATCATTTGCTATGCTAGGAAGAGTTGGCCAGGTCCTCAGCATGATATGGGCATTACATGCAAATTCAAATATAAAACCAGAGTCAACGATTTAACTTTGGAATATTTTCTGTTTGTTTGTTTGTTTGTTTTTGTCCTATGTTTTGGGTTGTTGTTGCTGGTCCTTTTTTTTTTCTAATAAGAGAATAAAAAGGAATGGTGTGGATTTGGGTGGGTGGGGATGTGGGGAGGATCTGGGAAAATTTGAAGCAGGGGAAGTTGTGATCAGAATATACTGTATGAAAAGAATCTATTTTTAATTTTTCAAAAAGAAAAGAAATGACTCAAGAGGCCATCCAGATGGCTTAGTGAGAGCTGCCAAGCT